CAAGTCACCCTATCGCCAACATCGTGAGATGTTGGCGGATAAAGTCGCACGCAGCGGTCGGACTCTGGCAGCCATAATGTTAGAGTTACACAGTGATCCAGTTTGTACGTACCTAATATCATTTCCGTAGTCTTGCTTATGGTGACGATAGTAACTACCACTGGTTAGTCCCTAAATTTAAATAAATGCCCTTAAAACACAGTTTTTTGTCGACAATTAATTGTGACATAGGCTATTCTTTGCTACGTCTTTGCTTTTTGGTGTTTTTAGTTCAAAAATCAGCGCATTGATTTTGGAGCTCAAATAAAGGAAGCTTTCCACAGATTTGTGATTATTTTCGAATTATCGCTTTCAGATCTACAACCGTAACCTCTGCCCCCAAAACCTCTAGTGCGACATTCACAGCCCTCACCTCTCACTTAGTCTGACAACGAACAAGTGGTACCTGTTCGAAAATTCACGAGTACAACTCGACTTTCTGAAGATCTTTCTTTTCATCATATCATCTGGGAATGCAACTTACTTTACTTATCCAGCATGTTACTTATTTGAAAAGCTTTATGCTGGATTTAGCTGAGTATGTCTAACAGGTCTTTACTTGGCTATCCTCAAGGGTCTAATCGAAGCGGCCATCAGTTCACGGGCACTTGTCCTGATTGACGGTTTCGATACCCCACCAGCGCGAGATATCAGCAAACGCCTCTGGATGAATCAGTTTGTGAAGAGCCTGGGTGCTTCAAAGTATGAAACCGTCGATTGGGCAGCCATTGTCCCCTGGGGGGACGTGAATGATCGCGATATGCTTGAGTGCCAGGTGGGTGCCGTTTACGGCTTGCTAGAATTTCCTGCTCAAATGTTGGTATTTATTATTGCAATGTGCTTGTTAGTCAAGAGATTGTTGGATCTTACCCAAGAGATTCAGAGATTCTCCCCGAAAACTGCAGTTCTTATAATAAACGGTCTATAATTGTCAGTCAGTAAAATTGCTTAGTGAGAAAATGTCCGTGGCACCTCCTAAGACCCTGTTTAAATTAATAGACATTTTACTCGCATCACTCTGAACAGCTGCTCAATAAACTGCTAGCATCGGACGTAGGTGAATACTGAGTGGTGATTTCAATAACCAGTTTTCAAAAAAGAGTAAACAAGAGTAAATTACCAAAATTTACAAGATAAGGTGGTTCCCAAAAAACTACTTTTAACTTAGAAAATATACATATGAGGCACACAGGAGCTTTACAGCGACATAGCTCAGTCTACTTGAAAATCGTCTAGTTTCCTAAGCGTCAAAGACAAACAATCACAAATTCGGAACGCTCATTTTTCATGGACCGGACTGACGTTCCGAAAAACCCTCTCGTTTCCCCCGTCTCATTTATGTGTTGGTTCTTCCTGCGGACCTTGACAGCTTTAGCCTGGGCACCCGTCTAGTATTGGATCCGTTCATGAACTTTGATCTGTCCGTTCGCTGTCGACCTCTTCGAGTTTGACCGCTTATGGGCTTTTGTGGCCTTCGTGTCCATTGCGGCCGTCGGACTTGTCGGCCTGTCCCTCATTAGCCAACGGACTAATTAGTCCTTGGAGTGAAAAATTCATCTAGGGTCCACTACAGCACGCAAAACCCCATCCGTTTGGAATACGGGACGGCTTCATAGCTTCTCTATATCAGCTCTATAGAGATAATATAGAATTGAAATAGAGATGATATAGAGCTTATGTAGAGATAGCTTCTAAGCTAAAAAGCAACGGCATGTTGCCAAAAAAGGAAACAAAAATGGGCAACAGTAGCTTATGTAGCCCCACTCACTAATCCCTACAACCTGCATTTTTTCCTACTAAAACGGTATTTATTGAGTTTTATGGGTTGAAAATTTGGACATGCAGTGGAATATACTTTAATAAATGCCAAGTGCCTTTTCATTTTACTGTATTTAGAAGTGTT